TCCAAAGATCATAATTTAAGAGCCATTGATGTATGTGATCATGGGCAAAAATAGCTTGTGGGCGCGAGCACCTGTCAGTCTCCCCGGGCCTCGTTTCTCAACTGTAAGAGGGCGTGGGTAGATCCTCAGTTTCTCCGCACTGTTGGACCCTGTTCGCTTGTCCTTGAAGCCACTTCTCCCCCAGTAACTGTGCTGCTGCCCTCTTTTCTCCCTCCCTTTCTCATGTCTCCTTTTCTCCCCATAGCTCCTCCTCTGCCCCTTCAGCCAGTCTTCTAGGTGGGAGTCTCCTTGTTTCACCTCCCCCTTTGCTTCCTGGGTGATCTCCCCTCCCTGGTCTTTAACCATCACCTACCTGCAGGCTGACAGCTCCCAAATCTCTGTTTTTAGTCCAGATGTCTGTCCTGGGCTCCAGGTCTGTGATTCCAGCTGCCCCTAGTACCTCTCCATCTGTATGCCTTATAGGCATGTCAACAGGTCAGCAGTTTAGAAACTGATTTCATCATCTTCCACCGCACATTGCCTTCTTTTCCCGAATAGCCAGCCTTGGTTAATCCTTCAGCCACTCAACTACTTAAGCCAGAAGCCTAGGAGCCCTGCTCCCCTTACCTGGCCCCATTACTTCCATCATCTAACCACCCAGGCCTATCAGTTCTGCCTCCTAAGTATTTTCCCAATCACTCCCTGCTCTCAGGTTCCACCACCACTGCCTTGGACCAGGCCCTCATCGTCTCTTACTCAAACTATTGCAGGAACTTTCTCCCTGGTCCCCATGCTCCCTTTCCAACCTCTACTCTGTAGCTTAGGCTGGAAACCACAAGAGTTATCTTCTCACAGGGTTGTTTTTTTTTCCCATTAAATAAATCCATATTGTGTACTTACACCAGACACTGTGCAGGGTGCAAGACTTACAACATAGAACATGTAGCCTCTGTCCTCCAGCACTCATAGTGTATAAAGAGAGAAAACAATCCAGGACACAGGTAATCAGGACACAGTGTGATAGGGAGAAATTGGGGGATGCTTGGGAAGGCCTAGAAACCTTAGCTGAGGGTTAGCTGAGTCCAAGGGGTGGCCAGGGAACACTTCCTGGAGGAAGCAACAGACTGCACATCTGGGTAAGAGTTAGCCAGGAGTGATCTGGGACTGTGGTGGTGAAAAAGCTTTCCTGGTAATTTGATTATCTCATTTCCCTGCTTAAAGCACCCTCTGAGCTTCACCACTGTCTACAGGATAAAGTCCAGATTCCTTACCATGGAACACAACCTTTGTGGCCTCATCTACCATTCCCCTGTATTCAACCTGAGTTGCTTTCAGTTCCCCCAAACCCTGGCTCCCTCCCTCCCAGCTCCCGGCCTTTGTACACACGATTCCTCCTGCCCTCCACCCTTCCCACCCACTCTGAGTGACCAACGTCAGCTGACTCAGGAGACCTTCCTTGACCTCTCCTGTATAGACTTTGTGGCTCCATCTCCTGTGGTCCCCACCTGTGTACACACCTAGACTCCTATACATTCATCACATCATTGTATGTCTCTGGCTCTTGCTCCTACCTGCCAGTGCAGGATCCCAGGTACCTGCCTAGTTGCCACTCGCTCACCTTGTGAGCATTTTAGGCATCCCCAGGGTGTGTGTGTCTCCCATGTGCTGGTGGGTAAGGTGAGTCAGCTTAATCCTCTCCCCCCACCCCCAGCTGTCTTCTCCCCTCTTCCAGCTCTGCAGCCTCCCTTTGCCCCTGCCACACCCCATGGAGCAGTCAGTTCTGTTGGGACATTGCAACACCCATCAGGCACCCCACACCTGCTAGGAGCCAGACATTCCCATTGGCATGAGGTCAGCCAGCTTCACTATAAGAGCAGGGCTACGGGGCTCTGGTGCCCCATTGCCTTATAGAGCCATGGGGTTTGGCTGCACAAATACATCTAAGTCACAGCTGCCACCCTAGCTCAGAATTAACTCCTTCTTTCCATGAAGCAAAGCTTTGTCCCTGGGTCAGCTCATTGTACCTGTCTCCTTCTTTCAGAAAATAGTCTTTTCCAATAGGCCTCCCAACCCTCATGCAGCTATGCTCCCAATGGTCTGCCCACTAGTGGGCTAGACACGTGTGACCTGCGTTGCCTTCCATCTCCAGCCTGGAGGCAAAAAATGTACGGATATGTATTTATTTAAAATAATAGAGAGGGAGGGTATAGCTCAGTGGTAGATTGCTTGCATAGCACGCAAGAGGTCCTGGGTTCAATCCCCAGTACCTCCATTAAAAAAATAAAATACATAATTATCTCCCCACCCCCCAATTTTTTTTAAACAGGTTATATAAGACTGAACACAGCTTCATCATTAAAAAATGCAAGCATAAAGAAATACATAGAATAAAAAGGTAAATCTCCCCTTCCATCCCTCCCATTGTATCTCAAAGCTTACATTACTGATAGGTACTGGTTGATTAATTATTTGGTGGAAATGTTCAGACTTTTTTTCCTCTGCATTTACACATATCTGTGGCTGGCATAATATTTGAGAAACTAACCTCTTTTTCCCTCCCTGGATTTTCCCCTTTTCCACTTTCACATTCATGGAGCTTATTTCCTCTTGAGCCAGCTCCCCAGTTTAGAAAATGGAATCACCCTTCAGGTGCCTCTGGTTTTTCTGTGTCAAAAGCTTACACACTTAAGGAATCTGCAGGATTTGCAGAATAGCTCATCAAAGAAAAAGAATTCTCTTGCACAGGCTGAATGCCTTGACTAGCAACAAGATAGAAGAAGGATTTTACCTGAAGTGAGAAAACCCCTAGCCCTTTGCAGCCTTCCCTTCCCAGACTGGTTGGGGGTAGGAGACACAGGGGAGAAAAATCTGTGGTCTCCAGAGTCCCTTTCTGGCAGCTCTCCTGGGCAGGCAGGAGTAAGACCTCAGAGAGCCGTGGTCACATGGTGGGGCAAGGCTAGGGGACACGGCAGCCTGGTCCAAGATTCGTCGCTGCCCATAGTGGCACTCAGCAGTGGAGGCTGCTAAACCTGGCCTCAGCCAGCTTCACAGCCACCTCCTGTGTTCCGTGTCTGGCCCTTCTCAGTGTTCAGACACTCCTGGAATTAAGTTGCCTGTTGTCAGGAAGGAAGCCTGCCGTAAACATTGAGTTGTGTTACAGAAACAAGTTTGGCTTCTTGCACACCTGAAGTTGTGACCTGAGGTCCATTCCTGTGGCTTGTGCTATTCATATTTTGCCACTTATGAAAAAGATTTCATAATACATCTTGGAGATGTTTCCATAGACATAGAGATAGATTTATCTTATTCTTTTTTTTTAAAAAAAAGTATTTTTAAAAGAATACATGCTCATAGCCAGAAATGCCAATACCAAAGGAGAAAGCAAAAGTTCTCCAGTCCTCCACTCCCACTCCCTAGGTGTAACTGTTGCTCACAGGTTCTTGAATGTTCTTCTAGAATTTTTTTTGCAGAAAAAGGCATGCATCTATTTCTAAATAGCTCTTTTTATACATGAATAGTCTCAAACCACATATACTTATCTGAAACTCATTTGACTGTTTTAACAATTTGACCTTTATTGTGAAATACATTCTATTACTTAAGTAGATGTAGTTCGATTTTATTTCTTTCAGTGATGCCCAGTATTCCATAGAATGGATATGCCACATGTGTTTAACCAAGTGATTGGCATAAGTTTTCGTATTTCTAGCTATCACCAATTAAGGGCACAGTGAAAATACTAATAGCTAGCATTTGTTGATCACAGACGTCGTGCTTTGCATGTAGTATGTCATATAACCCTTGTAACAACCCAATGAGATAGGCCTTGTTATTGCCCCTGCTTCACAAAGGGACTAAGTCACAAAGAGGTCAGTAACTTTCCCATGGTCACATATCTGGTAGGTGGGAGATCTGGAATTTGAACCATGCGTCAGGTTCTAAACTCTAGATACAGCCCAGCCCCTGTGTATATGCTGTGCACCTGTGCTAATATATCCATCGAATACATTTGTAGCAGTGCAACTGCTGGGTCAAAATCAGTGCGTGTTACACTTTAGTAGTGGTTAGGAGTTTATTTTATGAAAAGAGCAGTGTGCTTCTTAATCACGTACGGAGCCCACTTGTTTCCTGAGAAGAGAGCGGCCACACCTCTTGTGCCCAGAAACCTCACTGGATAAGGGTGTTTTCTCTGCAGTGACTGGGCATCAGCTCTGCGTCCTGTCTGGACTTCTCCTCTATGGGCTGGACTGGGCTCTCAGGAGTCTTGATAACCTTGCTCATGCCCTCTACCTCAGGTCGCAGCCACAGGCCGCCAAAGAAGTCTGCCTCGAGACTCCTTTTCTCTCTGCACCTTCTTGGTCTCTCAAGGGTGAGGGTACTTCCCAGCTAGAAGACTGCCTGGACTCCAGTTTCCCATTCCATCTTCAGGAAGAGAAAATGATAGCCACCTAGAGAAACATAGCTGGCCACTCTTTCCTTCCCCACATGCAACTCCTTCAGATAACTGCAAGGGGGCATCAGTGTGGGACTTCCAGGCCCGGATCCACACCTGCACATAGGTGGGAGGTTAGAGTGTGTGGCATGGCTTCTCTGTGGCTGTGACTTTTATAGGACTGTATCAGTGGGTCTCAAACAGGGGCAATTTTGCCCCCACCCACACCAGCAGGGGACATTTAACAATGTTTGGGGATGTTTTTGGTTGTCACATCTTGGTGCAGGGGGTGAGGTGGGGTGTGCTGCTGGCATCTAGTGAGTAGAAAGAGGTCAAAGATGCTGCTAAACATCCTACAGTGCACAGGACAGCTGCTCACAACAGTTATCCAGCCCAAGAATTGAATAGTGTTGAGGTTGAGAAATCTTGGGCTACAGAAGAGCAGACAGTGCCCAGCACATGGCTGTCACCATGACACACTCTACTTTTGTTAACAGTGACAAACGCTTATGTCTTGGTTCACCTGTGGCTTGCCACTGTTTTAAGTGGTTTACACCCATTAATTCCACCATACCATCCCATTTTACAGATGAGGAAGCTGAGACATGGAGCTGTAAAGTACCTAACTCAGGGTTCCCGTGGTGGCAGTCTAAGCTTGGCCTCTCACAGGGTTCAAGGCAAGTGCTCCAGGACTTCTCTGCTGCTTCAGGAACCTTGGGAGCACCAGGGATTGTTTATATCAATACAAAGAGAAAGAAAGAACAAAGCAGTGACAGGTCTTCTCTATGATTCTGACACCTCTGTTTCTTTCTTTTTTTTAAATTTAAATTTTAAAAAATTGAAGTTTAATTTATTTACAGTGTTGTGTTACTTCCTGGTGTACAGCATAGTGATTCAGTTATACATATATATATTCTTTTTCATATTCTTTTTTCACTATGGGTTATTATAGTAGTTCCCTGTCTATATATTAGGACCTTGTTGTTTATCTGTTTTATATATAATAGTTTGTATCTGCTAATCCCAAACTCCTAATTTATCCCTACCCTCGTCTTTCCCCTTTGGTAACCATAAGTTTGTTTACTATGAGTTTGTCTTCTATGAGTGTCTTGTTTTCTGTCTCTGTTTTGTGAATAAGTTCATTTGTATCATTTTTTTAGATTCTACTTGATACCATATGTATTTGTCTTTTTCTTTCTGACTTAACTTCAGTTAGTATGATAATCTCTAGGTCCATCTATGTTGCTGCAAATGGCACCATTTCATTATTTTTTATGGCTGAGTAGTATTCCATTGTGTTTTATCCAGTCATTTGTCAGTGGATATTTAGGTTGCTTCCCTGTCTTGGCTGTTATAAATAGTGCTGCTGTGAACATTGGAGTGCATGTATCTTTTTGAATTCGTTTTCTCTGGATAGATGCCTAGGAGTGGATTGCTGGATCACAGGGTAAGGCTATTTTCAGTTTTTTAGGGCATCTCCATACTGTTTTCCATAGTGGTTGTACCAATTTACATTCCCACCAGCAGTGTAGGAGGGTTCCCTTTTCTCCACCCGCTCCAGCATTTATTGGTTGTGGACTTTTTAATGATAGCCATTCTGATTGGTGATACGCCATTGTAGTTTTTAATATATATATTAAATAAATACAAATATATAAAAAGTATATAATATTTTTAAGGTACAATCTTTTATTTATTTATTTTTTGAAATACCATCAGTTATAATGTGTCAGTTTCTGGTGTATAGCACAATGTCCCAGACATACATTAATATATATATTTTTATTAAAGTATAGTCAATTTACAGTGTGTCAATTTCTAGTGTACAGCATAATGCTTCAGTAGTACATGAACATACATATATTTGCTTCCATATTCTTTTTCACCATAAGTTACTGCAAGGTTTTGAATATAGTTCCCTGTGCCATACAGTATGAACTTGTTATTTATCTATTTTGTTTGTATTAATTAGTATCTGCAAATCTCAAACTCCCAATTTATCCCTTCCCACCCTCTTCCCCCACCGGTAACCATAAGTTTTTTTTCTATGTCTGTGAATCTGTTTCTGTTTTATAAATAAGTTTGTATGTCTTTTTTTTTTTTTTTTAGATTCTACATATAAGTGACATCATATGGTATTTTTCTTTCTCTTTCTGGCTTACTTCACTTAGAATGACAATCTCCAGGTCCATCCATGTTGCTGCAAATAGCATTTTATTATTTTTATGGCTGAGTAGTATTCCACTGTATAAATATACCACAGCTTCTTTATTCAGTCATCTGTCGATGAATGTTTAGGTTGTTTCCATGTCTTGGCTATTGTAAATAGTGCTGCTGTGAATCAAAACTACAATGAGGTATCACCTCACACCAGTCAGAATGGCCGTCATTCAAAAATCCAAAAATGACAAATGCTGGAGAGGCTGTGGAGAAAGGGGAACCCTCCTACACTGCTGGTGGGAATGCAGTTTGGTGCAGCCACTATGG